CTCCTCCTCCTCCGCCTCCTCCTCCTCCTCCTCCTCCTCCTGTCCTCCTCCTCCTCCTCCTCCTCCTCCTCCTCCTTCTCGTCCTCCTTCTCATCCTCCACCTCCTTCCCCCCTCCAACTTATGGTGGTGATGGTGGAGAGCAGGCCGGCGACGGCGACAAGGGGAACGAGGACCAAAAGATAAAAGGAGCGCGAAACCAAAGCCAGACGGGGGAGGACCAAGCCGGCCGCGCGCCTCGTCGGCCTGGAGCCCCTGCAGGGCGCACCAATCGTCGCGGCCGCGGCGGCGACCCGACGTGGCAAATGGATCCCTAGGGAGAATGCCTCACATCTAGAAGAAGGAGAAGAACAAGAAAAAAAACGCTATCAGCATAAACTTTTGGCGCTCCGCGCGGATTTCTTCGATCCGCGCTGGGCCCCCCTGCCTGGCGCGCGGAACGCGCCAGCGCCGCCGCGTGGGGCCCAGCGCGGATCCAAGAAATTCGCGCGGAGCACCAAAATATCATGTTTATGACGTTTTTTTCTTCGAACATCTGGGCGGCGCAAGAGAGTCGCGACGACGGCTTCTTGGCGAGATGGGCCCGCGCACGCCGGCCCTCTGGCCCCGGGAGCGTCAAACGCTGACTCGGGATGCAGAGCTCTCCCCCGGGGAGCGGTCGGGAAGGAGAGGGATTGGCTTGCGGCACTCTTGGCTACTCTGGGTTTCCTAATCAGCGTGGGGGGTGGGGGGGTACCCCCCCGACGGGGGTCAACCTGGCCTCGTCGTCGTCGCGCCGCGACGGAGGTCGGAGCGCCTTCGGCGCGCGGTGGCTGCCCGTGACGGGAGTCGATGTGGGGCTGTCGGCGGGGGTGACGCCCCCACGACGCTTACTAAGAAACTCGAAATAGCCTCGGGGCCTCGTGGGGCTGTCTTGAGGGCCTCTGGGCGCCTCGCAGGGGCCTTGGGAATCGGGGGAAAGCGCCAGGCGCGATTCCCGCAGTCCAGCGCTGATGGTTGTCCCTCATAGGCGGCGCGCACCAGCAGGTAGGGGCAGGGGGAGAAGGCTTCTTAGAAGAAGGCTGCTCCTTAGAAGGCGCGGGCCCCACATCTACAGACAAGGCCCGCGCCTTCCAAGAGGCAGCCTCCTAAGAAGCCTCCCCCCCCCCCCCCTACCCCCCCTGCGCGTGGCCGTGGCTGTCCACCTTCGCCCATGAACTTCTGCCGCGGCGCCCAGACCACACTAGAGGGCCCCCTGGATGGGGTCCGAGTAGACGGGGTCTGAGGATCGCGCCGCATCGCCGATTCATCGGCGATGCATCGGCGATGCATCTGGGATGCACCGGCGATGCATCGCCGTCGGCGATGCATCGGCGACGCCGACGTGAAGCAAATCAGGCTCCACATCGAGCCGCATCGGCGATGCATCGGCGATCCTCCGATCCTCCGTACCTCCTCCTCCTCCTCTCCGACCCCGCCGCGCGCGGGAGGGGGGCCGCGCGGCGGCAGGCGGGCGGCGGCGCCCGGGCCAATGACGGGCAGGGCGTGGCGGCAGCTCGACTGGCGCTCGGCGGTGGCCTGCTCGCCTGCGGGCCGCCAGGCGGCCGCCCAGGGGGGGGAGGAGGAGGAGGAGGAGGAGGAGGAGGAGGAGGAGGAGGAGGAGGAGGAGGAGGAGGAGGAGGAAGAGGAGGAGGAGGAGGGGGAGGAGGAGTGGCGCGTTACTGACAGATACAGGCAGCCCGTGTAACAAGGACGCACGGTAAGGATGCAAGGGCCTCGGAGGGCCATGGCGACACTCTGCAAGAGGGGCGCGGCCAACGAAAGCGGCCAAGGATGGGCTGAAGGGGAAGGGTGCAAGGCCCCTTGGGAAGGTTGCCCATCCTTACTATTTGTGTTGACTGTGCTAACACTTAGGGTGACTTCCAAAACTGTAATAGAGCAAAGACATGACAGCTATCATGTTGGACCCGTGAGCTCCACCTGTACTGTTTGTTCTAATGTCAGGGGAGGGACCCCTTTTCTGTAATGGGTTCTCATGTTTCACTGCGCGGGGGGAAAACGTCCCGAGACGAGCAACACGTACCACGACCACGACGCCGACGCCGACGACGGAGACGAGGCGTGCAAACGATGCGCAGCAAAGTACGGATTTTGCGAAGAGTCAGAGCCCACCCTGCCAGGTTTGGTACGCAGCACACCGATGCGGTGCTGCGGCCTCCCCCCGAGTTGGGCGCCCGAGTTATCCGGGGTAAGTCGGGTCCGGGGTAACGCAGGTTTGGATTCCCGAAAAACGAACCCGAGTTAGCCCTGACCCGAGTTACCCCTGATGATTTGGGGCTCTGGACGCGCGAGTTATTCGGGGTAACTCGGGCCCGGGGGAACTCGGGTTCGGAATCCCGAAAAGCGAACCCGAGTTAGCCCTGACCCGACTTACCCCTGATGATTCGGGGCTCTGACCGAGCGCAGGCCCAGGGCACTCTCGTGCCAGGCTGCCCGAAGGGAGTGGGGGAAAGAGATCAGCCGGCACCCAATCGGGAAAGCGGACTGAATTGGAATGCGTGTCGCATCGGGCCGCATCGGCACCTCGGCGCCGCACGTGTCTCACACCGGGCGCTCTCGCCCTGCATCGGGGCAGAGGAGCCCTCGCGGATCGATCCGGCTTGAGAGAAACGCCGTGCCAAGCTGGTGCCACCTGCCCTGGTCGCCACTCCTCACGGTGCTGCAGCCTCTCTCGACGTCGGAGCTCAGGGGCCGCATCGGCACAGCGTCGGCATCGCACCGGGTCGGCCGCGCCAGGCTGCACAGCAGCGCCGTGCGGGCAGCCGCGCCAGGCTGCGCAGCAGCGCCGTGCGAGCATCGCGTCGCCGCGGATCGTCGGAAGGTGGGAGTCGACTCGGCGCGAGCTGGCGAAGTGGGCCCCAAGACAGGACAGGGCAGGACAGGACACCCGCGTCGCGCCGAGGCGCGCTCCGCGGCGGAACGGGTGGACAGCGCCGCAGCGCTCACGGGCAGAACGTGGCCAACTATGCCTCCAATCGAGATGATCCTCCCAGGCCAAGCGAAAACAACTCTCCTCCAGAAGCCCTGGAACCACAACAAAAAGGCCTTCATTTCTTGGGGGGCCGACTCTTGCTTCCGCCAGCTTCCGCCGGCCTTCCGCCGGCAGAGGCGGCTTCGGTTCCCTTCCGCCGCCTTCCGCCAATATGCCGCCGCCTGCCGCCGCGGAAGAGATGGCAGCTCCTTCCATCCTCGATGGCAAGGCCCTTCCTTTGGAACGCCCCAGGCAGGCCCCCTGAGAGGGGAGGGTCCGCAGGCGCGCGCGGGGAGACCACACCCCTGGGCACACGTCGGGCCTCGGCCTCGCGCTGCCACGAGCTGGCGGGACCCGACCTCGAACTGGATCGGCCGGACCAGAGTGGGCCACCGCTGCGGACGCGGTCCGGGGCCTACGTAGCTGAGACCGGGTGGGCGAGGCCGCGGCCTTGGGAATCTGCAACATATGCAATGCGAGATTCAGTGTAAAAGTTGAAAGAGGTGGGAGGGGGGAGAGGTCCTTGGAGTCGGTGTCAGCGCGGAGCTCGGCGTGCTCGTGCGTGTCTAGAAGAAAAAACTGTTGGCGCTCCGCGCGGACTTCTTGGATTTGCGCTGGACCCCCCTCCCTGCTCCGCGCGCCGGGGGCGGCGCCGGAGGCGCCGCCGGGGGGCCCAGGCGCGGATCCAAAAAATCCGCGCGGAGCGCCAAAAACTTCTGTTTGTGTGGATTTGTTTCTTCTCTTCGCGCGTCTGTGTGGGCCCCGAGAGGCCACGCGGGCACCCCAGGGCCAGAGGTGGCCGCGGGAGGGAGGGAGGGAGGGCGGACGAAGGAGGGCGGGAGGAGGGCGAGAGGAGGAGGAGGAGGAGGAGGAGGAGGA